GTTTTATATAATCTGATTATTTCAGTTGTTCACCGTTTGACATGTAGAGGTCATTTTCTTCCAGAGGGGGCAGTAGGGCTACACCCATCATGCAGGCTGCTGTGAAACACCACAGAAGAAGAGGTGTCGCGTGTTCGCTCAGTCTCATTTCAAGATGGCGGACGCAGAGGGTGAGTGTGGAGCACGTTCCTCTGAGAACGTTTCCAACTTCGAACTGTTTGAACTGGACTCGTTAAATCTTCTTAGTCACGGAGATTAAATGAATTCTAACATGAAGACGATGAGTTTTATATCGTGTTTCAATGTTCGGGTGTTTTACTGCCTCCATCGTGTTCGTTATTCTGAGGAACCGATGAAACTGCTGTGTGAAGCACACGTGCACAGATTCAGATCCAGTCTGGAACAAACCGGGATTAATCCGGAATAGCGACGATTGTGTCTGTTTTTAACGAACCACGTGTTTTCAGTTATGGAGCCGATAAAAGGGTCGATGAATTAAAGTTGATCGGGTTTCTGGAGTGATTTGTGTGTGTCTGTGTGCGTGTGTGTCTGCGCGTGTGTGTGTAGTGGAATCAGTCAAGCGGCCTGTTAGCATCGCGGGCTAACAAACGAAGCTAACAACCACGTGCTGTTTGAGGCCACGTGAGCTGCGGCTTCTCCAACATGAGAAGTTTCTTCATGAACCTGAAGTTTGAATCAGATTCAAGTGATGATTTCAATGTTTCCACAGCGTCAGTGAAGAAGAAGAAGAAGGTGAAGAAGATGAGTGAAGAAGAAGTTGGGGTCAGTGACATCACCTGATTTTTAATGTGATTCCTTTTGCTCTTCTATCTTCTAATCCATCTGATGTCCTCAGCCAAATGACATGTGATGTAATCTTATTTTTTCCATGAGGTTGAATTAACCTGAGATTTTTTTGGCGGGGGGCAGGAGATTCAACAGAGTGGAGACTTCCTCATCAGACCAGAGAGTAAGGTGGCGTCTCTGGACACGTCTCAGTGGCCTCTGTTATTAAAGGTAACTCACCCGGACCAGGAAATCTGATCCAGATCAAAGATTGATTAAATCAGGGTCCAGGTTCATTCCCGATAACTGTTGATGTAATTAAACACGTTCTCTACAAACATGAACTCTTAATGTCTCACGCTCAAATGTTGGGATTTCAATATGAATGATTCCTGTAGCTCTGTCGTGTGAAGTGATGAACCAGTTTATCCATTCGCTGAGCGGCTGCCGTCTTGTCTCTGCCTCTGCTCCCGTTTTGGGGGCAGGGCCTCTCCACTGAGGTGCCAGAGTCATGCCGGCGTTCTGCTGGACTTTGACCTGGAACCATGTGGAGAGAAGGACTTGACCCGACTGCTACAAAGACGATTATCTGTTCTGATCACATGAAGCAGGGACTCAATTTGGTGATTGTGTAAAAATCACAGAAGAAAAATGTAATTTTGAAGGGAAGGAGCATCTGTGATAAATTCATTATTCAGCTCAGACTCCCAGCGGTGTGCTGCATGACTTCCTGTTGATCCTCCTATACACAAAGTAATGTAATCATTGTTGTCTGCAGAATTTTGACAAACTGAATGTGCGCACGGCTCATTACACCCCACTACCGTGCGGCAGCAACCCCCTGAGGAGGAGCATCCAGGACTACATCAGGTAACAGTGCTGAGCCAACGCGAAACCATCATGTTCTATGTTGTTCATCTACATATGTTGATTGGTGTACTTCCTGTTTCCTCTCAGGTCGGGCTTCATTAATTTGGACAAACCTGCAAATCCCTCGTCTCACGAGGTGGTGGCGTGGATCCGGAGGATCCTACGGGTGGAGAAAACTGGTCACAGCGGGACACTCGACCCAAAGGTCACAGGATGTCTCATCGTGTGTGTAGACCGAGCTACGCGATTGGTCAAATCTCAGCAGAGTGCTGGTATGCAGCGATGAGCACTTGTTAATGCTAGAAAAGAAAGAGTTGAATCTAAGTGTTGGTGATGTTCCCGCCCGGCTGACTGCAGTGTCAGCTCAGTAAAATCAAGTGGCCCCCCTCACTACTCTCTGTGTGTGTGTTGCAGGTAAAGAGTATGTGGGAATCGTTCGGCTGCACAATGCAATAGAGAGCGAACACACTCTGGCTCGGGTAAGTCTGAGAACATGAGCCGATAGAGGAACTCTGCGACATTTGAACCTACGTTTAGACAGAAGCGATTTTTGATAACAGATTAATTCACATGACGATCATATGACTGGCCTGGGTTCTGTACACAGGCGATAGAAACGCTGACTGGCGCTTTGTTCCAACGACCGCCCCTGATCGCTGCCGTAAAGCGTCAGCTGAGAGTCCGAACGATCTACGAGAGCAAATTGATCGAGTACGATCCAGAGAGGAGACTAGGTGAGGCCACGTGTCAATAATGCATCTGTCAATCATTACTTTGCAGAGCAGGTGTAAACCGCTGATGTCACATGACTATTGCAGGTATCTTCTGGGTGAGCTGTGAGGCGGGAACGTACATCAGGACTCTGTGCGTCCACCTGGGTCTCCTGCTGGGGGTCGGAGGTCAGATGCAGGAACTGAGGAGAGTCCGATCTGGAGTCATGGGAGAGAAGGTCAGCCTCACTTCCTGATTAGGTCGGACTGTGACATCACCGTTGCTCAAAGTGTTGAGTTCAGTCCTGCTGTTCGGTGCCGGTCTGATAATTAAACTTTGAAAAAGAAACGTGCAGTGGTGACTGAGTTTACATCGTTTCTACGTGTGACGTCTCACTACTGCTGACATCATGTGTCATTACCCAGACTAGCGTCTTAATTTTTTTATCATTAGGATGAGAATGAGAAGTGATTGGTCAAACTAGTGACATCACAAGAAGCATGTTTAATGTAAGCGCTTCTACATGTAATGTTTGATTGACAGCTGCGTTAGGAACTTGTGCAGTCAATGTTTTCATGCTGTAACCACGCCCATTCGATGACCTCATCTGTCACGTTTTCTAAGATATACTTTTAAAATTGTGTAACTGTCTCTCATGACATCATCACACATACAGGACAACATGGTGACGATGCACGATGTCCTGGACGCTCAGTGGCAGTTTGACCACAACAAAGATGAGTCATACCTGAGGAGAGTCGTGTTCCCGCTGGAGAAGCTGCTGGTGTCTCTCAAACGTCTGGTGATGAAAGACAGCTCTGTAAGTCAATTTAATTTTATTTGTATAGCACCAAATCATAATATACATTATCACAAAGGTCAGGACCTTAAAAACAAAATATAGAGAACCCCAACAGTTCCCACAATGAGCAGCACTTTGAGACTGCGGAGGAAAAACTCCCTCATTAACAGAGAGAAACCTCGAG